CAGATGAGGCAATGTTAACTCGACGGAAATATAATATTGGGAGAGTAACGGAACAGTAGGGGATCTTCGTAAGGGTAAAAAGAAATATCGATCGATGTTTCATGGTACTGAAGGAAAAAAGAAATGCAGATATATTTCTGCCTAATATTGTTGATAAAATTTTACCGAGCAACACTATTACGTCCGAGCTATAGTTGGTACTTGGCAGTATTAAAAACGGGCCGTAAAATTGTCAGCATTTAACTGTAAATCATTATTCGGAAAATTTTGCAAATCTGGTTACTGAAGCTTGCTCTAATGCAGTGGAGTTGATGTGGCATAAATTAAAATCCAAACTTAAGTTACGGTTCGGTACAGATCGTAACTTGCTGTCAACATGGAACAGTTCATTTGGAAAAAGGAATTTGGAGAAGAAAACTATTTATTCAATTTGTGGAAGCTGATAACAGCACAACTGTACCCTATATAATGTAGAACCAGAAGAGCACAAATTAAACTCAACGGCTCTCTTTAAGGCCATCAAAATCACGAAGCAAACTTAATGTCACAGTTTTCGCAACAGTGTCATTCACCGTTATCGAGGACCATTGTCTGAAGTCTTAAATATGTGTAGTTAAGTGATGCATCCATCATAAGAAATGTTGCACCTGGGTAGACGCAATGAAAAGGCAACATCGCACGTAAGAGAGGGAATGAGATAAAATACAACAAAAGAAAGATGTGATGTAATCAATCGACGCAGACATTGACCATCAAATGAGAGATTTTGGGCTTGGGAAAAAAATTGTGCTGATTTTGAGCACTCTGGCAGCTATATTAGAAGAGTACCGAAAAGTAACCGTCTACCTGATCTCAAAACTTTCCTGTTTTTCAACAACAACAATAATAGGCAGTCTACATCACACCAGATCAAATCTCAGTACTTCAACCTTCCTACGAAATGGCTGCTTAACTGCACTATTTATTTTATTCACATTCATTAAACAAACTTTTCATCCAATAACAACTGTTCTTCTTATTCAGCAATAACAACAATAAAAGTATGATTCTCCTCGTCATCGGACGATTAGTTCATTTTCGGGTCAGTCCTTTTCTAATCTTTGGAATTTACATTAGATTTCAGAGATGAGTTGCGGAAACTCTTCACATATACAAAGTCTTCCCTCACTGCTCCTGGATTCAATAAACTAATTGATTATCTGAATAATATAGAACGCAGAATACAAGAATCTAAATTTTCCATGGACGTCTTTTCAGACGAAACATCTAAATGACGACTGACCTATAAGACAATAACTAATTTAAAACTGAGTTGTTCTAAACCGATAGTAACGGAACTGGAGCAGATATTTCTGCATAATCTGCAGTTATTATCACAATTACAGTATCGAGTGATCAACTCAGAAAGCATCACTGTCGAAGAAAGTCTTTCAGCAATGAAATGAATATTTCAGATACATTGATTTGGTTCATTCTCATATATCACAATGGTTCGCAATTATAAATTCTCGAAATTCTGATTTCGTTGACCAATCAGTCAATGGATATGGTTATTAATACGAAAAAACTGGCGAAAAGACTGAATAGGCAATAAAAACATGCAGAACAGGAGTACTCAACGAAAGATCGACCTATCTAAGTTATCACAATTGTTGTCATGTTCAATTATCATTTATTTTTTCAAATTATCATTTATTCTATCTATTTTTGTCAATTATCATTTATTGCGTCGTTTTTGACGCTCATTTGCAAAAACTGTTAATATGATGGATTTAGTGCACAAAAATTTTGTTTCTTTCCATTTCCGTTTGTAGTAAATATGCGATGATGTGGTCGAACGGCTGACCAAGAAGATGAAAAATGTGAAACATGTATATTTATCAAAACAAATTAATAAAAGGATCAAAAGATGAAATGCGAAGTGGTTAGGAGCAAAATATGTACGTTTAAATTTATGAAGATATGCTATGATATAGGTGAACTATGAAGAAGTATATATTAAGCGATCGCTTAAAGGACAACTCGGACAAGACGATTTGATAAATAGCGACTGATGAATGATAGTTATTGGTGTGGATAGCATATGAATAGTGGAACTGGGATGAGAATGACGACGATAACTGCGATGTGTAGTACACATACAAATCTCTCGAACTCGGTGGAATTTCAATAGGAATCTCAGTACGAAAACAACAACAACAACAACTGTCTTGTTTATTTCAAAGGAAGAAATGAGATGGTGAACTGAAAGGATAGTGATGAATGCATTGACGTGAGTTGATAAAAGAAGTATAAACGGAAATGATTCAACACCATCCAATCACTGCATATCTTCACCAACAATACTTTTACAACATTATCTTCACAACTTTGACCTCAAATTCAATTATTTTTGAATTCGGTTAACTGTTGTAATTCGAGTAATAAACAACCGTTTGTTTCCATAGTAGATAGTGACAAGTGATAATACGCAATCAGTCATCAGTCAATATCAAATTTTGTGTGCTTCCTAACTGCAGACTATTTGAGTAAACTTACGTTCAAATCAACCAGCTCTGATCAAATCTCATCTGTAACAGCTATAACTCCAGAAAGGGACATAAAAAACATTCGTTCCAAAATGCGATCCTTACTTTCGCAAATTTCACTTCTGCTCTCCATTCATCAAAAATAGTAACAGTTAGCCAAATTGTTGATTTTGAAGAAATTCGTTCACAATCAGACGAAAAAACCTGGTAATTCATTTGTGTCTTGTTTCTACATCCAACAGTAAAAGTATTAAGAAGTATAATGTTTACGATCAAAAACAAATTTCGTACTGTTTGTTATTCAGCAAAGTTATCTAACGAATAGCAAGCATTATTTCATATTTTAACAACTCTTCGCACGGCTGTTCGTAGTTCCGTTGAAAGGTTGAACGAAAATGAGAATGCTGATGAAAACAGTAAACAACAAACACAGCGTAACATTATCACTGAACTGATTACTACGATGAGCAATAAATAATAAGGATGAGTGCGTATGAACGGCTTACGCTTAGATTTAGACGCAATCCGATACGTATTGAAACGGCAACGTAAAATACATACGTCTTAATATACATAAATCAACGACGAATGAATGATACTATTGTGATAAAATGTAATATGAATGAATCGTAGAATGTTTATATAAATATCATTCCGGAGTATAGTGAGGACAGGACGACTGACCGTTTTCATGAAACGTCTTATCAAAATACGACACATCAATAAACTGATTTCAGTTATCACTTGACGCATCCACCTCGTCAATTAATAATAACTTCTGCATTAAAAATAATAAACTGATAAAATCAATCTGTTGGACATACGTTAAAAATGTAAATAATACGAAAGCAATTTTTGAAGAGGGATACTGCTGTCGACTTATAATGTGATATTGAATAAAGTATCAATTCAAATAGAGATTAATGGATATAAATAAAATCAAAAGATGAATTTACGATGAATTCAAGTTAACGACTGCTGAATAATCTGAAATCAACTTTAGTGCTGAACAATGACAGATGAGTTGTTTATAAAATGATCATATTGATTGTTTATTCGCAAGCAAGAATATTTGTCTGACAACAAATCAACAATAACATCTCATTAGTAACATATCAGGCCAACCTTCCGACATGTACATTTCATTTCTGATAAACAAACTTCAGTTTTTCACTAACAAAACACTGAAGATCCCCTCAAAAAACGTTGAGCACAACCTTAAACCACCGTGATTTTAAAAAATATTACAACTATTGTCTCTCACCACCATGACATGAGAAAGATTTTAAAAAATTTGCAAAAGCTATTTTTTTTTCAAAAAAATGAACAATAACTGATGAATGTGAGTCTGTATCCGAATCCTGGTCGTGCTCAGTGCAAGTGAAAGACGAATGTATTAACGCAGATATTATTCATAGAACGAATGATAGATAATAATAGTAATAATTTTATTGTTTCTATGTTGAGAAGATTAGAAAATGTGATGATGAGATCAGCAGTAATGCTAACATTGCACTAATAATAGTAAATAATAGCAATATCAATAGTGTCATTATTGTAACAATTAGTATTTTCAATTAATAAATTTGTGCAGCGAATTTTCAACTTTACTGCATACTGCAATGATAATTCTAACCACAAGTGTAAGCAAGCAGACCTCAAATAAAAAACGATCTTACCAAGATAAATTCAGAATGATTATTTTAAGGAACATCAACTGCTGATTCAAACAACGAATAACGAAAAAGTGAATAAATAAATGATCGAAAATAAATTAGTTCGGATAAAAAGACAAACTCACCAAAGATTATCCCACGTTCTATGAGATAACCACGACCAGGCCGAGTGGCCAACTTTTTGCGCAGAGCTTAAAAGAAAATATTGATTTATTTATCTCTGTAACGGAATGCAGAATTCAAAACATGTAAAAATAAATATCTCTGATATGTTGCAATTTTCGTTCATAGATTGTGTAAGTGAGATAACGATTTGTCATCTTCGAGGAAGTGCAGTGAATCTATCAGTTGCAATTAAACAGCATAAATCTATCTAATTATTGCTCCATAGATTCGAGTGACAGTCTTGATCAAATATTAGTTGAATTTACAAAAAAACAAACAGAACAACTGACAGTTACAGCAAAGTCAATTACGACTGGAATTTCGATTTCGTAGAATTAATTCGAGGTAGTGCTGTCAAATGGTAATAATTTTCAGTATTGAATAGGCGCGAATTTGATTTCAAGCGGTATAAATTTTGAGGTGCATCCAATATTCGTATCATCAAGGTACGATTAATGAAGATCGACATATGATTATGAGACAGAAGTCATCGAGCTCCTTTGATCGCAGGTCTGACTGGACGTTTCCAGCAGTTTTGAATGACAAGTGGGTACTTGAGTATGACTATGGCATAATTCACATGAGTCTGAACAACTTTTACAGCTTGAAAATACTGCTGGAAAAGCTGTGCTCAATAGACTTGGTCCACACATCGTGGCTTATATTGAAACATGAACAAATAATTTATTTTAGTGAATGGTTCACCTTCACGATTCGAATGCATATTTGATTGAAGGCTCTGTGCATCTACGAAAACAGAACCAGCTGGAATAATCTGTGTTGGAATTGCAATCGCTGGCTGATGGCTCACTGGTACTAACAATAACGGTATACGGTCGTGGGCATTCATCACTGCCGGTTTCGGCTCGATCCATCGCGCTATTTTGGCCATTCCCTCGATGGATATCCAATTACGCTTGAAAACAATTTCATCCGTGAATCAGATGGCCTATTTCATTCATACGATACAATATATCAAGCGTTTGATATTGATTCAAAATCAGTGAAATATGCACATGTTCGATCGAGAAATATAGAAAGCACATTATGAGCAACGTTACCACTTCTTATACGTTTTCTTGGATATTGTTTGACAGGAGATTTTTCAGTGATAACTCATAACATCGACGGGTTTCATACAACCAATTCTTTATGACTAAACAGAGATGATCTAAAAATGGCTGTCTGCATATGTTTCAAGCGATGAATTTGTATCCTGATGCATGATGATCACGGATCACTTGTTCACTCCAGTGATCGTACAGAAAATCTCACAGATCTATGCAAAGGGATTGTTGTGTTCGGCAGACAAAACCGCTGATGTATGAATTTTCATGATCCTTCACTTGCACGAACTATGAACTCTCATCAATCTTATTTTATTTTATACTTTACGAAATTTGTTTTATTTATGCTAGTACCATAACGCTGAGAAATTTATGAAATAATTTCTCCAGCCCCTTGTTTGACTTTTCCACGATTTCATATACGAACTTCACCGCCAATTTCTATTCCTATCTGCTACGATTTTATTGTTCAATGCAAACTGCTCAGAATGTTCAACTTTATCCATTAATCATGAAAGATGTTGCTAAAACTTATTAGAACTATCAATAAAAAATCGAACCCCATTCGTTCGACATCAGAAAATGTAAAAAATATATGATGAATGAGATAAAATGATAGACACGAAAATAAAATTTTCTCAACTTCACCACGGATAACGTGCATTATTGCAGCAAAAAATATTGCTTTCATTAAAATATAGCATTCACGAGCACAAAGCGCAAACTCCACGTTGCGATCCTGGTATACAAAAAAAAACAAGCGAAAATTAACGACCTTACTCAAATCAGACAAAACGAAAAGAGTGCAAAGAATTTATTTCGCTGTGATTACTAACACCGCATTGAGCACCGCACCTTAGTTTGCAGAACGTTACACATTGTCCAAAGATGAGAAAGCATTCTTACACTTGATAAGTTTTTTCATGCCTTTCCCACCGCAGTTTTTAGCACCACAAACAGAAGTTATTCTCTATTGTTCAACCAAAGGCTGTATTTTATGCCATTAGTTTGAAATGTATACCAACTGGTTCGTCTTTAACTTGCACCATTTAAAATGTTCATCATCAATATCCACTATTCAGATATGAAAGGAGGAAAAGCCATCTGCGAACTAAACCACTAAACGGATTCGTAATTTCATCGCAAGACTAATTTCATTGATACATTTTGTACGGTTTTGCCACCGACTAATCGCTCAGTCGTCTGCGTCACTAGCTGCCCGAGAGAGCATGCAACACACATGAAAACATGCGTAATTGCGATAAGAAGAGATTGATTGGTCGATACTACTTTAACATTGGAGAACGTATTCGGATTTTTAAGGTGCTGGATGAGACGAGCATGAATGTTTTATGGGGAGTTCAAATTTCTGCAAAAATCAGTTTACAGTCTGTAAGTTATGAGGAACTTTTTTTGAGGGGTGATGCTGTCGAGATATGTGATGTCGTGAAACAGAGAGGGCATAGCGCATCTACAGCAGATTACGATATACTAGGACGATTTTGACGAAAATCAGAACCAGTATTCTAAAGCGAATTAAAATCTCTATCATATTCAACGGGAAATCCGCGTGGAGAGAAAAGAGGACATGATTCAGCTCCATAGGTCCATTCGTTATGAAGCTACGGGCATTTTGATTTTTTCAAAAAAAAACCAAGATTATTGTAAATCAACAATCGATTTTTTGGAAAATACAATAGTGTTCAGAACCAGCCGAGGCGTCATGTCTCCTCCTCGAAATGCTAAAGTATAAATATGATGTGTAAGTGTTACTATGGGTAAATGTGATGCCTGACAACTATTTCACAATGAACGAGAAGTTTCAACTCTGGAGGGTTCGGCTGAGTGACATGTTAACATCCCGGTTCTCGAATAAAGTCCGATAGCGCTGATCATTGTACCGTGATTAATAAAACCACAGAACTTTCTTCATCGGCTGTTTTACAGCCACCTCGAAGGACATCAATGTTAGGAATTATTAATTCTCCATTGTAATCAGCGCCAATAGCCTTAAGTCTGTCGAAACAAGCAAGAAGTTTACCAGAAATCAGCTTAGGACTTGGTGCTGGAATCAGGCAGAACAAATAATCAGAAAAAATGTAAAAGATCAAGATAGCTGGATGAAAGCAATAGTTTAATCCAAAATGAATAAAAATAAGTACCAAAACTAAAACAAAGTGTATTGAAACTAATGGAATCTTACGATTTTTTGATGAAACGCACTCATGTTTCAGATCATTGCATGACAATTCTTAGTGTTGTTAACGATTATTTGACCATGATTTTTCACTGCCAGCTACTGATGCTATCAGATCGTTATGTTATTATTATACACGTATTGTCGGGCGATATTGCTTACATTCAGAGAAATAGCTGATTTTCTGAAGGTATCTTAAGTAGCTTGACGCCGCTCATTTCAATACACGGAATCTCTGTTGATTAACATCTGCATTACTTTAGCTCAGTGGCACCATATTCAAACCAGTGCTGTCCTCAGGTTTGCCCAGAAACATAGTCATTACTTCGCACAGTTTTTTTTCATTCCCCTGGGTATAACTATGAAATACTGCACCCCAGGTCAATTCTGCGCAACATCAAATCATTCCCCTCAGTATAATCAGTTTAGGAATACAAATTGTTCTTAATCATTACTAATTGATTATTGTGACTTTACCACTCACCGCATTAGTCGAGATGTGTGTTATAAGCTCGTTTAAGGCGCTCAATGCGTTCATTCGAAATGCTTCTGCTTATCTCAAAAAACACTTGTAATCATCTGTGGCACATTGTCTTTATGGGTTTGTGAATGTGTTGGACCGCACCCATTTTTATCAGAAACCTAAAGTGCAAGATTAGCGGATGGATTTATAGGTGGATGAAAATGGAAGCAGCGAATGACAAAAGAAAGCAGTTTGGTACACGGTATTTGACTGATGACTCGGCTGTATTCACCTATAATGCGTGGGATAATGTCGAGTGGAATGATACACAATTGCGTGAAGCGAAAGCCAAGGTAATTTTTGTTTGATTTATTTCAATGCACAGTTATTAATCTCATTCGGTTTTGTTATCTCGTGATGGCCGGTGTGAATGCTGATGAGTTAATGTAGCATTCAGATATCCTCATCTTTACTGAAATCAAAAATCGGTTGTAATCCATTGACCCGTCTTCGGTCGAATAAGAATCTTATTTATCGCGTTATTTCTAGGTAGATAAACAGAAAGAAACGGCCGTTGAAGGTCAGAAAGCTGAGCAGCTGAAACAGAACGCTTCTATACAATGGGACGAGTTCTATTCGAAGCATGATAATAAGTTTTTTATGGATCGTAATTGGTTGCTCACTGAATTTCCCGAATTGAATATGGACGGGAGAGTTCGTTTTTATCGTATTTTTTTGCCCTCTGGAAATCGATTTTTTTTTCATGAATCGTTTCACTTGAAGAATTTACGTTTAATATTACTGGATAAGTTGAAATGAAGTTATCACAATGGCTCGCTTTTCGGAGTGTCATGTGAAGTGTTTTTGGAGTGTCACTCCAAAAAATTGTCAATTTGAGGTTGAAAATAATGCTGGGCCATTGCGAGTGTTGGAAGTGGGTTGTGGTGTCGGCAATACAACGTTTCCACTTTTGGACAGTTGCGCTCATGGACAAATATTCGTTTATTCATGTGATTATTCAGCGAATGCTATCGAATTGATGAAGAAGAATGAAAAATTTGATGCTCAAACTTGTCACGCCTTTGAATGGGATATTTGTGGTGAGCCAACCGATCAAATTGCTGCAAATTCGTTGGATTTTATCTTGTTGATCTACGTCTTGTCAGCTATTCCGCCAGAAAAGCAACAAAAAGCAGTTGATAATTTAGTAAGGTAAATTGATTCTTGCAGTTCATCATCAGTCGTGATGAGTTTATGATCTGTGAACAGAATTTTCAAGTGATCATCAATCTCTAATGACTCGGCTGTAGCCGTTAAAAAATAAACGCTTCACTCGAAATTTCTACCTCAGCTGATTTTGCAGTTCAAGTCTCTGGACTCTTCATGTACCATCATTTCTTTTTTTTTTGTCTCTCGTCATGTCATAAAACAGCTATAGGCCATTTTTTAAAATTTGGCACTGCTGAAAGTGTGGTTAATGTGAGCAGCTTCTTATATGTGTGGAAGTAAAAGCATATTATAAGAATGAATATGAACCATTATGTGGTCGTGGAATTTCATTTTTTTCTAAATTTAGGTTGCTTAAGCCTGGTGGATTGGTGTTATTAAAAGATTATGGCGAATATGATTTGACACAGTTGCGGTTCAAGAAGAATCGTTTCATCGATGAGAAACTGTATTGTCGCGGTGATGGTACACTGGTTTATTTTTTCACTCAAAATGAGTTGGACAGGTTGTTCCGAAATGCAGGACTGTCAAAGGAGGTTAATGTAATTGATCGTAGATTGATCGTTAATCGTGCAAAACTTGTGAAAATGTATCGAGTATGGATTCAGTGTAAATATTCAAAACCCTTATAGCGATCGTTATTTGTCATATGCAGTTTTCATTCTGTTATATTTTTCAAATTTCGTTTTCATTCAGCGTTCAAAGATTCGTTCTCGAGTAATTATAATTTAGTGCAAGTCAGACGTATTTTCATGTTCAAAATTTCAAGCATCCATTGACTTTTGGAATTTCAAAAGCTATGTTTAAATTTTTTTCACCTGAACAGAGTTGTAATGAGTTCACATCTCCTCGTTTGCGCGTCTTGCATCAAAATTTGATTTCTCCTGTATATATGTGCTTCGTACAGTTCCGTTTTGAGCTGTGTTGCGTTCATGACAAGTTGAGTAGATAATTGTTCAAAAAGAAATGTGATAGTGAGAATTTGCATGTCGTTTTAGTGCCACCAATGTTTTTTGAAATTTTTTGTGAGACAAGCTTTTCGAATTTAACCGAAATGTGTCTCCGTTAACGTTGATTGATAATTTTTTAATGAATGTATATGTTAGTGTGGATAAGCGTGCGCTGTTCTCGAATATGTCACTTATAACATAAACTGAATGAAATGGCTGCAATTTGCTCATAAATGTTTCTATTCGTATGGTTCAAAATCCATCGCTGATGTTCTCGTTAATCAGCTGACTAATTACTTCAAAGATTGTTCAAATGGCATAAATGTTGAGTTGTAATTTTTGTGGACGTTGTAGAGGGAGTAAGTGAAATAAATGACTGATTGAGCTTGTACTCTATGGATAATCTCTATTACGAGGTAGCAAACGTGGTGAAACGAACGTTGAATAAAGAAAAAAACATTCGATCATTGGTGTATGCTAGCAACTATAAGGTGATTTTGCTTCTTTGCTCATTACACGAGTTTTTTTCTCAAATTTTTTGAATACCACCATAATAATTGTTGCGTTGATCTCTAGCAAGATGTTTTTGCAAATGATGTTCGGGAAATGTCTACCAAAAAACTGGTATGAACTTGAAGTGCCGGACATATTAATGTTTTTTTTTTATTCAATTGCCTCAGTCGAAAGTTTTGTGGTTTTAACGATTACCAGTTTGGTTATTTGTCATTTTAAAATATTAGATTAGTTGAATAAATTGTTGCATCTAAAGAAACATCCCTGAATGAATTTGCAGAACAAGAAACAATTACTGCGTTTATGTTGTGAAACAATCAGGTGTAAAAATTTTTTGGATGGTCTGCTGGAATGTCAACAGATCCGTGATTTGTTAACGAATAAATCTCTTGGTGATTTCTCACTTCTCTATGTGCTACTATATGAGTTCGTTTTGGGAAAGGGTATTCGTAATATCAGCAAACGTCTTTCAGCACCAATTCTGGCTATTTCGAAACTCATTCATGAGCAGGTTTGTGCTTACTTGGCCTTTTTGCATTCAATACGAATACTTTCTGTCAAACACAAATATTTTAGTAGATTTCATGCATTGGCGAGAATTATTTTCGTACTATGGAAGTATGTTCAGTGTATTCATACGTTTATTTCTCTTCACAGCTATTATTTCCACAAAACTTCTCTTCATTCACAAGTGGAAATTTTTTATTTTTAGATATCATTACAGAAAATTTTTAAGTTTCTAGTGTATTTGTCGTTGAATCAGGTTGATAGATTCATATCGTTGCTATGCAAATGAAATAACGATTGGTCTTCGATTGAATGAAGTAATTTAAAAACTAAATATAATTCCGTAACCATACTGATACTAACTGTTTGATAGGCCGAGCATTTAAAAGAGGCTGGTAGAGGTGTAATGGATGATGAGAAATGTGATAATGATGATGGCACTTCCATGCGGAGGATGATTCCTCGTTATGCTCGTGTCAATACTCTCAAATGGTCATTTGATGAAGCTCTTAAAGGTTTGCAGTAATTGCGCTCCACTTTTCATGTCAGCATATTCATGAATTCTTGAACGTTACGAAGCCTGAATATTCGCTCGGTTTCCTGCGGTCTTTTTTCTAAATCGGTTGTTTGCACCTCATGAAATATTCACTACATATTAATTACATTGATTTGTATCACCTATACGTCCAGTATCGAATGCATCAAAAAAATTTCAGCATTAGAACAAGAAGACTGGATTATTGAGAGAATTGAAAGCACTCAAGATATGGAAGTGTTCAGGGAATGTGTGAAGAATATGGCTGAAAATCAAATTATTATTGATCCGCATATTGAAAACTTATTGTTGTTTCGAGGAGATTTGGATTTGCATAGCTACTGGATTGTGGATGAAGGATATGTGCTATTGCAGGATAAGGTTGACGATTCAATCAGCTCATAATTCTATTTCTATTAACATCATTTTGCTTATCATTTATCGATCATTTCGCATAAAGTACAACGCCCGTTAAATTTCGTTCAGCTCATCAAATTTTCTCTCTTCTGCCTTTGTCACCAATAAAATGCCATTTTCACCGAATATTTCATCTAATTTTATCTTTGGGCGAGAAATTGCTTTTTGGCTATTAGGTTCATGATACGTGATCATTGTCTGTGATATTTTCTGTGAAATGGATGGATCACTTTTTTAAAGCTTAATAATTCATGTGTAGATGATCACTGAATGCAGGCAAGTTGTTTACCGGCCGTACTGTTGAAACCGAAAGAAAATTCAGAGGTGTTTGATTGCTGTGCGGCGCCTGGTATGAAAACTTCTCATCTGGCAGCTATTTTATGCAATAGCGGGTATGCTCTTGCTGTCTTTTCTTCATTATTGGTATCGATATTTCAATTTTAACTATCTTCTGCAATGAATGATAATAATATCCTCAAATGCCATCAATTTTTATTCATCTGAATGATTGTTGTGAATAAAATACACTGATTGAGTTCAACGGAAAGAAATTTTCTAATTAAAGCTTGCAATGCAAACAGCCGAATGCCGAATCTATTTACATTATCATTCTTCCTTAACGCTGTACAAATCTCGTCTTGAATTTATCGTTTAAAATTCTCAACACCGCAGTCTGTTCCCTCTTCGTTTTCTGTGGTTTAATTGTTCTTAAAATCGACCGCAAAGGTTTGTTATTTCAGTAAAATTTGGGCGATGGACAAATCGTCAGAACGTATTCGCACTTTACGTATGATGCTAAAAAATGCGGCTGCCACAAATGTCAATGTTTTATGTGATGATTTTTTAAGTATCGATGTAACAGATCAAAAGTTTGCGAAGGTAAACATGTAATCAATTCATTTCCACCAATGTTTTATCTCCAAAGCGCAGCACTGTTCGATCAAATGGACACATCAATCAATCATGTGACAAGTCTTGCTCGGACAGGATGAATGAGTGTTCTTCACAATAGATTGACTAGTTAAAATTATGGCGCAACTGAAAACGAAACGAAAGCAGTAGAAGACTATAGAAAATGTAATCTGAAGGTACATTACGCATTGGTTGATCCACCCTGTAGTGGATCTGGTATTGTGAAACGAATGGATAAATATTTTGACGATTCAGACTGCACGGATGAGCGACGACTGCGATCGCTATCGAATCTGCAGGTTCCTTATCGATATCTAATTCTCTTGATTTCACTTACTTCCACTACTTTACTCTTTTAACATGTCGAAGAAACTCTCTCAACCCGAGCATACTTTTCAATCGTTTATTTGACGAGGGAAAGACTGTAAAAAAAATGACGGCAATGAACTTCCGATAACAAGAAAAGAGCAAAGGTAGGAAACAGAGCAAAACAAGTTGAAAAGTTGTGATGAACGTATGTATATGTTTCATTTTCATGCTTGAGAGTGTGGGGTTGTCTCATTATTCTTCTCAGATCATCTCTCATATTGTTATGTTCTTGAGAATATAACAGATCAATTTCAGGCGATGATTCTAAAACAAGCTTTTAAATTCCCTAAATTGAAACGACTGGTTTATTCAACGTGTTCCATACATACGCAGGAGAATGAGGCCGTTGTTGAAGAGGTTTATCGCTTAGGCTTGTTGTACCTTCTTTAGGGACAATTGATTAATTGATTATTTATTTAAAATGTTGTTTGTTTAATATTGTGAGGTTAAATTTTTTTGTGGATTTACTGCGGAAATGATGTGCAAGTAAAGTAGAGTTGTTGAATGTAAACAGGAGATTAGTTGCTGAGGTAAGTGGCCATCCAAATGCAAATCATCGCAAGACGGGAGGTTTTGAAATCGTTCAGGTCACACCTGATTGTTGAACACTTAAACTCTGTTATTACAGGTGCTTAACGATGAAACTATAAGCGAAAAATGGGAGTTGGAAAATGCGTTGCCCAACTGGAGTCATCGAGGTGATTCGAAGCATTATGAATTTGCTGATAAATGCATCAGGGCATCACCTACATCTGATCTGACGAATGGCTTTTTCGTTGCGGTTTTCAGAAAGAAAAAAAAACATCACAATGCTCCTTCATAAAAGAAATACCTCATAAATAATCTCAAAGATTCTGTTGAAATTGATAACCGTCTATTTTCAACGTAATGAATGATGAAGGATAACCTGTTGTTGGCAGTGTTTTGGTGTCTTTATTAGTCACGCTGTAGATTTGTCTGTCTTGTTATTTTCAAATTATATTCATGAACTTCGCATGTGAATTTAATATAATGAACTGTTATATGTATCTATGTTTTTTTGCATTCATTATTCATTTCAAATCGCATCCCCAAAACTCAATATCTTTTAAGAACATGTTATTGTTTTCAAAAAAAGTGTTGTTGTTATATCTCGCGTTCAAGCAAAACAGAGATCAGTTTCGTTTACTATTTACATCTTTCATTCAAACATAGGTATCATTCATTACGGTGCTCTGTCACAAAAGAAATGCTTCAAAAATAATCCCAAAGATTAGGAAATCTGAAATCGTTCAGGTTGAATTATCTATCAATAAGCGTCTCCCAATCAAATTCATCAGAATCATCTTCTCCGGCGGCTGTACGTGATGGCGTCTAAAAGTTATTAAATATTATGATCCCGTTGATTTTTCTGAAGCAGGCCTGAGAACCTGCGGAGTTTGAAGGGCGTTTGAGGAAGTCGGTTCTAGATTTGCGGGGTCAGTCTCGAGTATGGAAAACCCAAAAAGGCTGGACTTTCAGTTCGGTAAGACCCGCTGTGATTGGATTTGCTCCGATAGAACCCGGGATGTCCGTGTATTTAAGGTGCATGGAGCTGGAATGGTGTTTTTAGTTTTTTGAGCGATTGAGGAATATTTTTTCAGTTTTCTGAATCGGCCGGAATTAATGTCAATAAAATAAATGTTTTAAAGGTATAGAACTAACAACCTGTAACGATGCACAATCAACAACTGAGAAATCTTTGTTGAGTTCATTTAGTGAACAATTCGCATCGTACAAATATAAACCTAAATTATTTGCATCACATTACGAGGTAACTCATTCTTTAGGAGGTGAACCACTGAACTGTAATTGTTTTTTGTATTCGCAAAGAAGTCTTTAGTAGTTAAGGCGAGTTTCCTTCCAGCTCATACATTTTCAATTGATCTGGCAATTGGTGCTATTTATTTGAAAGCTATACATAAGAAAAATGAAATAATCGCTTTTTTTTTCAGTTAACGACATCTCAAAACGTTCACCAACCATTGATCTGCTTCTCATGATTTTGTACACTTGACTTCTGTGACATAGCTGTTGATTGTTGGGCAGTTGTTTTTTCAGCAAAAATGTTACTAGGTTCTATTAATTCTGAAATGATTAGCACTTTGTGTGACCATCAGAATTGATATTAAGATGAGAACAAAAGGTTGGTCAATTGGAGATACATTAACAGTTCTAACTGAAACGCTGGAATGTTTGATAAAAACCATGATTTATAAAGAGCGGTCTTTTAAAGTGCTCTTCTGCTTCAGTTTAATTGCAGGCAACTTCAATCTCTAATAGCGTTGTATGGTAAATGATAAATTCACTTCTGAATCGTTCCATATCGATATTTTCCATTTCTTCATCATCATCATAATCCAAACCAATTGTTTCTAGGCTTGATTTCAGCCAATCAATTTGCGCAAACTGAAATTTAAGATAGTTCCCAATGAAATACATCTTCACCCATATATTCCTAGCTTGAGCTTGAGATTTTTAGGAAATGAAATCTGAAAATATTCATCGACAGCCACTATCACCAAATGAATGAAATAAGCGCAGCCGTCATATTACCACGATTGGTTTATCATTCTTAACAATGAAAGTACTTTCGAATAATGCTCCGTAGAGTTTCCAAAGGCAATACTAAATGATAATTTTTGAAAATACAGTAGAAAACTACTTTACCTTTTCTTTATTGGTCTTCATTGAATCATGAAAAAGTTGTTCATATAGATCTTTAAAGGAGGCCGAAAGATTCATTGATTCAAAAAGATTAATATCAGAAACATCGTCATCAGTTGACAAATTGATGTTTTCTTGTTGAGATCGTTCATTAATATTTTCACAATCACACGATGTGGACGGTGATTCTAGTTGAGCAGATGCATTGTAATTGGCTTTTTGAACTGATGTTACATGATCCGATAGATTTTGTGAACAGAATATTTTTTGAATGGCTGGATTCAAACGTGGTCCTTCACATTCACTGTTCATCTTACAGCGTCTTGCCCTTGCGCTTTCGTTCTGCACAATACACCTCCAATATGATCCTTTACCGTTATCGCCGATTTCACGACTCTCCCGAATGAATTGTTTGTTCAAACTAAGATTATGTCTGATAGAATTCTGAAAAGTATCGCTCATTAAGTAATCGAGAGAGACCAAACGAAAGCTATTCATAGTAGGATGGAGCGAGTGAGTCTGTGAGGTTGACACCCTTCTCCCGTGAACGGGAATCGAACCCGCAACTTATCAATTACTGGTTGGGTGCTTCACCTCTGAGCTAGTGTGCAAATTCGTCAGCCTCCACCAAATGGTTACTTGAAGTTTGTAATCAGTTTTTCAGCGCACTTATGCGAAACGGATCTGGTGAGCGTTAAACACCACAATCCAAGTGAACTGATCTGTGAGCGGAAAAAGTGACCCTGTTGAACGAAGATGCAAATTCTCGTCAATAGTTGAATGATGCTTCACTATGCAAAATGTTAATAACCTTCCAACTGGGATTAGCATGTGCGCGGTAGTATGGATAATTCGACGTTATATAAGCATAAATTTCACTCAACGTGCATCGTTTATCTTTGCTGTTTTCAATGGCCATCTTTATGAGCTGTGAATAACTAAGATTCGGCTTTTCAACCGTATCGTATTCCTGAAAATGTGGCGTCCCTTAATCGATGCGTCTTTAAGAATTTATTCGAAAAATTCATTGTTTGTAAACATTATCATGTAGCTAGCACTCAGTGAAAGCTGGTCACTCATAAACAGATATTACGATGCAAGTGCAATCGTTCACATCCAACTGTTTAAAATGGATGGCTTTTCTGAATGCTTTGTTAAGTTTTGGATACAATCAACCACAAAATTTGTTGTAGTTGATCACTTCATTTAGCGCAGTTCATAAACAGATCGTAATTTTAGGCCTCTTTTAAACTCGATGAAGTATGAACCTTCTAATCCCGCTAACTATGAATTCAAATAAACTCAGAAGAAGTAAATCATAAAAAAGCATTTTTAATTTGGAAACGGTTTGTCATCGTTCTGAAAACTAGTTAATTGCTCCCTCAGACGATATATTTTGTGTGTCATATAAAGTCCTTCATCAACTTTGATTCACGGCGAAATTTTTTGCCTCATTAGAAATTCGTTCACTTAATTGCATTGTTCAACTTGGAATGGTCGTTAAAAGTTATAGGAATTAGAAAGGCGTCACAGTGATTCTTCATTCAATGTCGTATAACAAAGGTACATTGATGATATGAAATGAACGTCTAATGGAATATTTTCAAGATGAATCATTACCATCACAAATGTCATTTACTCCGTTCATACACCTGGAAAGGTTGAAACGATTGCACAGTTCATTTACCAGGATTCCCAATCAAAATGCATACCAAAATGTTTGAGAAAATTATTCAAATCCGTTAGCATTGATAAAATAACATCGGGTGCAAATGATGAAAACAAGCAGTTTATGAATTGATACAGAGCTAATGATATCGAGATAGACTGACCCGTTTCGATTTGTTGATAAGCCAATTTAGCTGACTGAGACTTGAATCAAGTTGACTCATTCTTGCAATAAAGAACAGCTTAGTGTGGATTAATGGAAGATGCAACACACAATCAGCACTCACATTCAGCACTTTATGAACACCTTAAAAGTAAAGATATAGACAACATGATACAACCATAGAGCATCACGTTCACGTATACAAGAAACTGAGTGCTGCTGATAACAGATTAGAGCTATGAGCCTAGTGATGGCTATAAGCCGAGCAAGACAACCTGCCGTTTGAATTTGTCATATTCAACATAGCACCTTTCATTGATTTTCCTTCTCTAGGCGTTCTCTTCTATCTTCGATTGCGCATTGAATTTTTTGTTAGTGGATAAGAAATTGATTATTATGATCTTATAATAATCGCCGTTGCAAGTGAAAGGACAAGCAGTGTACAGCCAATGTGTTATATTTCATTACAGCGTATCTCTTCCCAGTTCCATGCCTACTCGTACCTAATTTACTTCGTCTTTGAATTGCGAAATATCGAGTGTCCTTTATTCATCGAATTCAGCATTAATCAATGAAGTCATTCATCTTCATGTCCGTAACCGTGAAGAATCATTTCGATGTGAACGAATACGGACAAGAAAGAGTGAATTGGCATTATTGGTTCAAGTCTATTGAGAAATTCATGGCTAGAAAAAAGTACTTTACTGTAATTAATATCAGATCACATTTAGTTGATTGTTAATCTTGTTCCCTACAAGATCAGCTTTAATTAATCGATTACTGGGCAATACCCGGCAAGTTCCCATCGATATTCAATTACTTTCAATTGATTATCACTTTTATTGCTTGAGATTATTTCTGACTTTTAGCGAATTTGATATTGCTCGGATACTCCACACGCAATACTTTCTAGTTGGCTTCTTTACTTGAGACTTTCGATGGAAACAACGTCCGAACATCCCTTAATGTTGGTGTCATCAAAACCGAACATCATTTAGAAGCAATTTAATTCATCATCACTTCAAATCAATTAGTGGGCAATATCGAATGAATACAAACAACTTTACTAATCCACCAACAAACAAATCATTAAAATCAATTAAAGACAACAACGATCTCATGAACTTCGCGGTTCTTCTGTGAAACTCAACTTGTTGCTACTGTTGTTAAAGTTCTGATTAAACAACTTTGACTCATTGTTGGCATTTGATCGCTCATCGAGCACGGCCCATTTTGAGAATAAATCTGACCTATCTGCAATCAATTAGCAATTAACAAACAAAAGAACGGCACGAGAAACGAATTCATCATGGATTTATGGTATCTTTAAATAAGACAACGCCAAGTATATCAAACATACCTGTTAACATAAAATCAATCACTGGAATCGAAAAGATACCACTGAACCCTATCGACTGACCGTTAGTGGATCTTATCACCAACCATGGAGTATTAAACACCTGAAGAAAATGAATGATAAGAATCGCATAAGAATCCAGTTTTTTTAAAATCACTTCTGATCATTTTAACATTAATTTTCACTCATAATTAGATACCCATAAGAAATTTATTCGCTGAAATAAGATGAGATTGAGAACCAAAATCATAAATGTTATACGGACAGTACCCCACTGAGAGCCGCTTCCTTGGTTGCTTGCATCAGATTTTGAACATTTGATTGAATTTGGATTCGAGAAATAATATCGTCACATTCTCGAAATTCTAGTCCAATATCACGACACATCTATATGAAATGCTTATTCATAATCATTAAAAAGAAACAACCAAAGGTGAATCTGCAGTTAAAATATTCATATGCAGGTAATCGACTTAAGATTCCAAATAAAAAAATAACTCTCCCTACTTTAAATAAATGCGCAGTTTGTAATTTCAGTTCATCTCGGCTCCACACACGTTCCCATACAGCTTGCATAGCATCTTCATATAAATGTGGTCTCTCATTTCGTATTAAATTCAGCAACAATAACGCGTTTACAGCATCATTACTCTCAATAATGTCACTTAAATCCTGTAAATCCACCAGACATCTGTACATTTCTAGTTGCTGGATACCTCAATTCCGTAGTGATCTAATTCGAGAATAGATGCCGAAATTTGGGATAAAGCTATCTAATCAGGTATTCTTTCAACGCTGCGAGTATCTAATGATCCATTAAAAAAGTTTTGGATTTGGGAAGGATTCATTGAATAAATTGAAAATCTGCAGAAAAATGATCAGTGAATAAGTTGATTTTTGCAACCAACTATTTGGGCGGTAGAAAGATTGTGTGAATGCTTGTTATTGTGGAACAAACATGCATATTTAATGCGAATTATTTAGTTTATTCAGTTTACCCGTGGACATTTGATCTGAATATTATATTGATGACTGAGGATTTTCAACTCATTGAAAATATAATTCCTCTTCGCAGGACACATCGACAATAATGACCCGATACCTGAAGGGCGCATTTCTCAATTTTAAACAATTTGTTTGTTGTCACATGATAAATTCAATTGTCTGAAACTGGATGTCTCTTAAGGATTTGTTGCATGACTAAGATAATGTAAGTAAATTGATCGTATCTCTTGCATTTCAAGTCGAGAATTAAACCACTGACGTGGTTACTGAATTGTCTACGCGAACGCACCAGCTGAATTCAGCAGTCTGCGCTTGCGAATTGGAACGAAATTCAGCGAGATATCCATCCTGTTCCAACTCTCACACTGCAACCGCAGCATCTGAAGATGCACTTCGTATTTTAGAGGTCAAATGAATGACGTGATATGATGAATGGGTGGCTGTGCTATAACTAAGAGAATCGGCAGAAGGATAGTCATCGGATCGAAAATAAAATCTTGCAGTTATCAGCATCATGAATTGTAATGATTCAGCCATACCTTGTAAGCAATCCATGAATAGGGGCAGATAACGTCATAGAGAAAATCTATTTTGAAGCATCCGATTGCCTTCGCCATCCCTATCAAACAAAGGCGGTAGTGGATCTGTTGTGAACGACAGTATAGGTAGTTGAAACTGAAAAAGCATTCTCATTATTCGTTTAACTTCCATTATAAATGTGCTTTCTTTTCAAACTTTCAATATCATGTATGCAAATTTCTCACGTATTGCTCACCCTATTGTGACTGATAGGTTAAAAGTTTTCGTCTCATTCTTATTAAATCGAGATTATTCAGAATGCATCCGATAAATATGTTACTTGATATTCACATAGCTTCTTCCGATTGATGAAAACACGCCATATTTATTTATTCATTTCAGAGAGTTATTTACTCTCAGGGTACTTTTGCCCATCAGATGCTCGTGTGCTCATACGCTTTACACATACATAGGTCGAAGCCTATGCATTAGCCTCATCACTGTGCTAAGCGTAAGTCCAATCTTAAGCATACACTCTTGATTTCACTTCCAATTGCGTATCTACACATAAGGCAAAGCGATTATCTAAGCGCATGCGCACAGCGACGCTCTTCATCGGCAAAAGCGCCACTTCCAGAATACGAATTATTGTTAATGTTGTTAAGAACACGCGTCGGTCATCGCACGCATGAAGACAGTGTGCCACAACTCTCTGCGCACATTAACAACTGCTTTCTCGAACAAAGAGAAGTATTTCAACTGAAATCAATTCAATTCGAGTGAATAAACATGCTCGCAGCTAATTGTGATGCATGCAACGAGAAATAAACCAATGATAAACACTAAGTAACAAATGGGTATAGTTTGGATTCATAGTACGAATATAATCAATTCACTTGAGGTGAAGAATAGGTCAATTGCAAAGTTATACTCACTGAAATGAAACCAAACTGAAGAGTATTGACCTATTGCACAGTAGAAGTCAAATGCACGCTAATACCAACTGAAATGAATCCGTGCTGGATAGCATTCACCGTTAGCTTGAATATGGTGATCCTGACATTACTACCCTCTTGTGTACATTGATCAACACAGATACAATGTATTGGAATGAGCCACTTCGCTACGTGAGCTGGCTTCAGAAAATTGTTAATATTACTTATAGTAAACAAAATCGCCTGACAACATATATATTTTTCTGAAAATAGAGAATCTGGAGAATCGACGGTTCAGCAATAGCGTTTCGCTATAGCATTGACGATAATAGAGATAGCGCTTTTTTTTCAGCGAACCAAACTTTTTTTTTTCTTCAGCCAATCAGCGATGGCGGAGCTACTGTTTTCAGCAGCGTTCCCATCTCTGGCTTCACCAATCAACAAAAACGAAAACCGCGGCTTTTATTTGATCATTAATCGCATACGAGATGCGATCTCCACACGGTTCAATTGTTATTCATAAATTTTTCAACGATGCCACTTTATCACTTGGAATGTGGACTTCGACAATTTATCGTTATAATTCGTAGTAACAACAGACAGCCTGCACAAGTCGTTCTTGAAACGACATTCAGCAATGAGTTCATCTTGAATTCGATTGATTCAGTCTAACGTCAGATGCCAAACAGTTTTGGACGAACCAAATTACCAGCTTGTAGTGATGATTTCCGCGATGCTAGTGAATTCCGCCGACTAGAATATAATACTGACACATACAGACAGCTCTAATGCATGCACTCAAAATATTTTTAATTTGTGGTAATCCTTTACCCTATTCTTCCGAAGAAGTCTTTTAGATGTCCGCCATCAAAAGATTATCATATGATTATTGGCAATAATACTTTATAGTGGTGAGCAGCGATGTCTACTTCGAAAAAATTGACCTAGTTCCGGTCCCGGCTTTACGTTTTTAAAATTTCCGGGTCAGCCCCGATTCGACGTTTTTAGAATTTCGGCTCCGGCTGCAGATCTGCATTTTTCAAATTTTCGGCTCCATATCCAGCTTCGGCTCCGCTTTTCCGAAAATTTTAGCTTTGCATTTCGTAATTTTTTGGCAAATCATTATTCATCTGATTAAACAATGCGATATGAATAAGAACAAACATTTGACATCGAACATACCAGGATGTGGTTAAATGAATGCTTAAGAGTGCTTTCGCTTCTCAGATAACAACTCAGCTCTAACACTAAATAACACAAATTGCTCTCACACTAACACTAACGATAAATAATAAAGAATTCATTCATTCCAATCGTACAACTGATCGGCATCGTGGCAAATCGCTCTTACTGAACTAACTCGCTTTCATTCATAAGGTCAAATGTTGTTTTTAATGGTTTCAAATGCATTTCAAATAATTTCATTGAAAATTACACATGTTTCAATTTTCAAATGGTTTCAAACTTCAAATGAATCACATACGCTATTTATTCGCATGTCCATATTCAGATTTAAAGAAGCCACATAAATATTTCTTTGCTTTCTGATACTCAACTTAAATTGTATCCATTGAGTCTAGCTTTTTTGTGTCTTCACTACCAAATCGATTCAGAGCCTAACTCTTCGCAAATCGATGATATTTTCCATAAGTGATTAATTGTTCGAACTGTTATTCTGTTCTTCATAGGTGGTCCAGGCATGACTGATTATGATAATTCTGAGAATGGTTCAACAACAATTGCTGGTATTCTTCAATTTCAACAATAATAGTTCGGGGCGAACATGAGCAAGATACCACCTGGGGGCCGCATTACAAGTTCGTCATCTCACTTTGCATGATGGCGAACGTGAAAGCTGCAATGGAAAATGACGAAAATCATTTTATTAGTAACATTTGAATGTGAAGCAACCAAATGTTACTAATACATACATGACTTCAACTTCAAAATTATGGAATGACAGCAGTTTCTTCTTATTCGTATTGCTAAATGAATCGTCAAACAATACTCCAGTCATTCTTGATCGTTAACAAAGTCAATCCAAAAGAGGACCAATCATTCAAAATGAATGGTCTGAAGTTGTAAAAACAATGGTCAAAGGAAATCACCACACATATTTTTGAAATGCAGCTCATTATTCTGTTAGATCCGTTCATTTCACAGCCTCGCAAATATAACGGAAGCTAACGTCGGTTTGTTCCCTTTTGAAAACAGATCGTAATTATAAACACAACTGCTCTTTGATTAAGCATTATAAGTTCAAGATAATGCATCATCAAGTGCAGGTTTTGCTTGTTTGTGAAGTTGTGCAATCTAGCACGAAATTACATCACTTCAGTTGATTCAGTTACACTGCACAAATGCTATTCGAATCAGCAATAATAAAAAATTGTCCGCTTATCTCTTGAATTAGCTGTCGTTAACAAATTTAAGCGATAAATTTCAATAACTTATTCGTTGATAAATTAAATTATGAACTCTTACAGAGGTTCATCGAGATTATGCGAAAACATTTTGATATCTGAAAATTACCTCGCAAAAAAAAAAAAACAATTACGAAAGTTCTAAGAAGAAGAACGGAAATTGAAGAAATACAAACGAAAGAGAATGATATGAAAGGAATTTGCATCGATGACGATAAAGCAACTAACTATAAATAATAAAAGATAGGCCAGCAACAATAAGAATGATAAACGAAATACGCATTGGCACGGAATTAATGCAATAAAACGACGAACAGACGTTATTCAACAGGAAACCTTTATGATATCATTTGTTATAAACAAGTTGCTATTTTTATCTGAGAATATTTCCAATACAGGATAGTGGAATGAGCGAAGTTGAAGGATACGAATGTTCCTAGTTATGTGGTTAGGATCAGACTACTCAAGTAAGGTTCAGCTCAATACCACAGTGGAAAAAGTATAGAAAGGTGCTTTAAAAAGCTATAAATATATGATATTATCTCATGTTCTGATATAATAATGCTATTTTTGCGCTATTTTAGGATAGAACAACGATAAACGGAAATCCACAGTGCGGTTTGGACGACAATATTTCATTTTATGTATTCTTGACTTGAATTTAGGGTCACGTTATCATGTGTAAAATGTCAATGATTTTTTTGAGATGATAAATAAAGTAGCTATCAAATTAATTTTACTATTGTTAGGCAGACTATAGTGAATAAACGATATGAATAGCAACTTATCATTTTTACGACGCAATATTTGATATCATTACTTGTAATGAACCAACAACTAACTCATAATGATAATAGTGACATGTTCAGAAAAAGAACAATTTGAATGGCATGAGATCGAGCATTGCTCTGACGCTTGGTGCATCATAATATTGAAACATTTCGTTCCTATGATAATAAACGTCGTCAATTTTCGAACTGTCGTCATGCGTTATTTTCATTTCCTTCTTCGGAACATCCGCCTCATTAACAGGGACCATACGTAAGTGGTTCTCTTCATTGTGACAGATCTACAAAAATTCGTGCAGTGCTCTGCATGCAACCAACGTGGTGGTGAAACTTTCTTCAAAACTGAACAAGAATTTGGACATAATCCTCAATCTGAGTAGGATGCTGAGCCAGATCCATTATGTACACTTCGGATAGGATAAGCAGTACTAAAATCTATCCATAGCATTTATCATTCTTGCAGTTGTTTGCTTCGACGTTAAACATTTTTGCACTAAACAAATAAACGTATAATACTGAGAAACGGAATGGATGGAAAAGGGATTCAAACAGTAATGCATAATGAGCCTTGATCCACGTATGAGGGTAGGCTTGATGATATCCGATCAAAGTGCATGTTATTTCAATGCTTGAAGCGTTTCAGCGGAAATTTTGGTAAGCACGACATCATTAACAGTGTTATATACAGCAAATGACGCAGATTTGTATTTTAGACACAAATGCAAAAAACATTCATTCGATCAGCTGATTTTCCAGTGTTTGCAATTATTTGTTAGGTGCTCAGAAGATATTTTTAGTGATTTGGTTAATTAGGAAAACTTTGATCTTTCGTTTAACAGATGCATTTTCAAATTTTCATTTCGAATCCCTTCATTAACGTTCCGTTACGGCTTGTGAACGAATGGTGAATAATCCTCTGCTTTCCTAAAATTTCATGCTAATTGGTTGGGATTATCTGTGTTTGAGTGCATTGCGAGTCCATAGTTTGCAGCATAACATAATATTTGGTGCTATAAGTGTGGTATGTATGCTTATGAGTGAACAGTTCATAGTGTAATCGTATTCGAGCATTTCAGTAATTACTGATTATATTCGGTTTAACGACTTTACGAGATGTGACATAATAATAGCGAAAGCAGTAATAATAATGACGATAATAATAAAGAAAATGCTGTTAGGATTAGCAGTATTTATAATAGTAAGAATAATAATAAACGTAATGATAGTAACATCAAGTCGCTCAAAATTCACATTCCAAAGCGTCTTTTTTCATCAACCAAGTAAAATTCATGTTCTGGTATAATTGCAGTCCTTCTCGCTATCGCTGTTTTTTAATTTATGGTGGAGTCAAGAGAAGCAGAAAATGAAAAGGAGCAAAAAATGAGGGAGATTGTCGAAGAAGGCTGCCATTCACTCGGTGACTCAAGTGCATTTAATGTAGGGTTTACAAAATCCCGACCATTTTCTCAACCCGAGATCGAGATTTGATCCCGGAATGCTTTTTCAATCCCGGGATTGAAAAACAACTTGTGAAGTATAAAAGTGTGACATTTTCAACGCATTCTTTTTGAACCAATGTGTTCAAAATTAATCAGAAAACAGTCTATCCAACAAATCGCTTACCAAAACTCAATAAAACAAAATCGTAATGAAATGAATCATCATTGTGACGAAAAAATAGACTTTATATCGACGGAACAACAACAGATTCAAAAAACAAAATTTAGCGAGACTTGAAATAAACTTTCAGAAAGGTCAGAGCGTTGGTTGTTGCATCACTCATCCGATTTCTCAGTTTTGACCCAAAAAAAGAAAATGCGGAGAAAAAAAGAAAATGTTTACTTTCGACGCTTGTTTCGGATCGTTTTAATCGAGATGCATACTAAAGCGATCTCCTGATAAACTGTTCTGTTCCATGGAATAGAATAGAATAGTTCGCAAATGAGGAAGGAACAGTTTGGAACAGAATATAGCCGTTTTTGAGCCCAAAGGAACANGGGGGGGGGGGATAGCATAGACTAGAATAGAACAGGTCTCAAACGAGGAACGCATAGGATAAAATAGAATAGAACCATTTTGGAGCGGAATCGAACAGAATAGAACAGTTTTCAAAAACGTGGTATAGAGACATCACTACTCGCCACCCCTTTCTTCGTCACATGGAACAAATGCATTTCAGAGATTACTTTGCTGTTCGTGTCATTACTTTTTTCACAACTTATGGAACTTTGCGGATTCATCATCAATTCTATTTTCTTTGGGAAATCAATATCATGTTCATTCTCGTCGTTGGATGAATCAGTTGCCATCGATGGGTTAGACTTTGGCTTATCATCATTTTTACTACTTGCACCGAGCAACCTCGAAGATAAAATCACTGCCAATTCCATAATATTTTCTTTCGTGATCTTATACCCCTTATAACCTGTTCCCTTCTGACTGTAATCGGGATAGTTCATACGTCTCATCAAATGCATTGAAGCTGGTATTCTGCACTCGTTAATCTTCACCAGAAGTACCTTTTGATTACCATGTGGGTGGTAAACAACAAATATAAGTGCATTTGAATGAGCTGGGAATGATTTACGCTGCATTCGTGATCGGTATAGTATCAAATTCACACAAAATGACTTGTGTTATGGATCCCGGGATCGGGATCGAGATTCAAAAGTCGGGATTCGGGATTCTTGGGATCCCGTGCAAACACTAGTTGCATGTTCTTGATAAGTTCATTGATCAAGGCCTAAACTTGATCGAAACCAAGAATTTATAATGTGTACATAATATGTTCACAAATTATGAAATGAAGTACCACCGAAACCACCGAAAGTAGGGCCGAGGGAATCGAGCAACTCACGAACACTAAGAGCTGATACTCTTGAGTGTTCTCAGAGGTCTCCAACTCAACTCTGGCCGCTACATCATGTGAACCAGGCCAAATGCCCAAACACGAACACAGCCACAACATTTTGAATAGATGAGCTTAAAGTTCGATTGTAAGGCTACAACCGCACACAAAGCAGGCATTGGTGAAATCGACCTCGAAGATAAATTCCCGAATTTCCTCGAAAATGGAACTTTTGAACTTGAACTAGCAGGACATTGAAAACAGTTTTTTTGATGAAAAAACGTTCAAATAACCAATCTTTAGAATAGAAAAGCGGTAACTGCGAATCTACAATGCAGTTCCATCAAATTCAACTGCGAATGTGAACGAAATGCCGCTTTGAATTCACCAACCTAAAATGCAAAATTACCAAGATCGCAAGTTGTTTTTTGCGGAACCTCACTTATCATTAGTCACTGGCCCGTGAATTTCAGGAATATGGTCACCTGAATAAAAGTTTTAGTGTTTATCGTGAAAACATTCATGTGTATGATTTCCACGAGTCCACTGTAATAAAATTAAGATAGCGATAAAGCAAAATCATTCAAAATGAACATTATCAGATGTTATGATTTGTCGCTTACAATTAATATAATCACGGCTTATGGTGAATTCAGCCAATCGGAAGGCTTTTGCATATTTATATTCATGAAGAGACAAAGAAAGTTCCTGATGGGATAAGGCTTCATTTCTCCTAGTCGTTCACATGTGTGCATTGCGAAAGATTTCCTTGTGTGATATCTGCTAATAAGTATTATCATTTTGAATCGAATGTCACAGCACTATCCCATACACTTCTTTCATCATCGCTTCCTTCATTAAAGATTAAACTCCTGCATGTTATTAACATCCTTATGATTCATAACTCACCAGTCGCGACATATATTCCCAACTCCACCACATAGCAACAAAAATTTCACTTTCGAGGAAAACCTGGGAATTCAAAGAAAATTTTCGGGGAATTCCCCGGTTGGGGACGGGAAAAACTGGGGACCCTGAAAATGTCGTCAGCTCAAAATAGTTGGGAACGGAGATTTTGAAAGGGGTCCCCGAAATTCCCGATCTCCAAACCACACTAGTTCTCATGTCATTGCGTTCCGCTCCCATCTTCAACCGCACGGTAAATCACCATTCCTCCTTCCAACAATTTCAATACAGCAATTCCCTCACTTCTGATAATTATACTTCTCCTCTGATAATGATAATGCAAGTTCAAAAGAATCATTCATTTACCATCTTTGGTAGGTGTGGTACGTGGTAACGAGCAAGTCCCTTCAGGGTAAGCATTGCTTACTTTGGGCAATATAGCCTACTTCGACTACCACATTCCCTATTTTGACTATCACATCCATCTTGGGACACTCTAGTCACATTATTTGACAAAATTATTACATTTAATCCGATTGGGACGCTTGGAATGTCAACAATTTCAAAGTAACTTCGGCTTTCGATTATGAGACTTTGTTGGTATTGTTCATATTTACCATGGATAATAAAGTTTTGGTCCGTTATTAGTAAAGGGTTTGTTGATATTTGCGGGCTTAGCTTAGTCGTTATTAGGGTTAGGAACAAGACGGGGAGGAATTCGGCAAGAGAAGAATGCAAAATGTCAGGATTTCCTGTGAGGGTCCTCTGCTTTCGTGGCAGAGGAGATCGTTTGGTTGTTCAAATCACCTCAATATTTCCATCGTACACAATTTTACTTTGATATTAAAAATCCTCAAATATCAATCAGTCCATTCCTGTTCCATGAACAAGTCCCACCTTTGATCCACCACCATTACGTTGCTGTTATTTTACGACTGAAGCTTACCTTTCCCACAAAACTAAAAGAATGCGACCATCATTCCCTTTGTGAAAGCATCAACTGTTCTCACCAAGTTATGATACCAACCAATTTCAGCCAAACAACTCATCTTACGATTACCATCACAGTGATGACACCAATGAAAAAAGCAACGTTTTGCGGTTAGCTATCATTATTCCTCTCATTATACAAATAACAGAACAAGGCTGCAATATTGTTGCTATATAATAGCATCGCAACCTAATCTAGCTGATATTTGCACACTCCAAATTAGTAATCCAGCGGACTTCACCATGTCAGATGCAAGTGTAAAGATTTCAGTTCGGCTGTGTTCCTTGCTTTCCTTCGAAGACTGGGTGCAATGCGGATGGTGTTAATTTGTTGCACTTGAACGATACATGTGGGCAACGGTGTTATTGGTATTGATGCTTAAGAGACTTCAGAAACGTCGTTCCCATTTATTCATCAAGCAACGTCGTCATTCAACCAAATTTAATTCAGTTCAAATCGAATCTGAATTCTTCACTTCAATGATGATGAACGATAACAAAACAATTTATTGGGATTACGAGAAAAAAAGGATTATAAAACGAGCAGACAGAATACAAAAAAAAAACTGCGAATGAACAACAAATGAAACAGGAAAAACAGATAAATTCAGTTCTCTTTAGGCTTCTCTCTGTGTAGAAAAAAAACAACAACTTCCAACTTATAACGAAAATATGAATCTCATCTAATAATAACAACCATAATAATGATAAATAGGTTCAATCACCTATTTCCAATATTATGGAAATCAAAATTCGTTATCAAATGCGCATTTCAAACAATTTCTATCGGAAAATTGCTTGAACCTTTAAACTTCGCCTAAAAACAATAGTTTAACGCGCAAAACAAGATGTGGTAATGAAAACAATTATCATAAAAAATCTGTTCCACTGCAATAGAACTCTTAGGCGCGATGCTGCAAGACAAAGCATCATAATATAAAAAAGTTTTCATCTATAATTAATGAAATCCGGCAATGAAACAAACAAATATCATCGACAAAAGATAACAAAAAAGCGGTCAAAGAGAGAGTTCACACCGTCGCAAACGCGTGCCATAAGCCCCTTTCACCGATAATCAACCATTCATCATAAACGAAGCCAATTCAAACCAAACCAAAACAACAAATCCGACTCTCCTCAACAACTAATCCTTATTTGGCATATTCTTGAATCCGAGAATCATCTCCTCACCACACGCCGATACCACAAGACACTGTAAAAAATGTTTCACAATTAAAACTTCATTTGCTTAAAGAAACATTGTAACAAATCAACGGCAAATAACAGGTCAAGGCTCAGCATATCGAAAGCGCATCCTTCGCTAACTGCATAACTTTGCAATACGAGTGAAACTGCGATCAGACGATCATAATGACATCAAAGCACGAATCAGTAACGAACAACATACAAGAATGCCTGTTTCGTCTTTCTCGAAAGCCTGTTTGATCTGATCACCAAGCTCACCCTCGGGTAGTTTAAGGTCATCCTTCGTATCGCATGAATCTAGATCCATAAGACTTACATAGCCATCGTCGTTGATCGCAAGAAGCTGAAAAAGGGGCTTTTTGATGTATGCATGGATACACTGCTTAACTGTCACCGGCAATTGCAATTCACTTATTTGTAAAATTAATCGGATAAGGAAAGTTAAATAATTTCAGATGAAGATTTTTAATTCATTTCCATCGCTTTGCAATTCAATTAGCAGTAAAAGATAATGTGGGCAATAATATTGCCGTAACAGAACAATGTGTCATCAACGAATAATAATCAAATAATGAGTGAATGAAAATTATAAAGTGAAACGTCTAAGGAACAACAAATGACGTTCACATACCTGGTATTCCTTACGTTTCACGACGGGTACATCCATATTATGGGTGGATGGGCAGATATCTTCGAGTTTCTTACCCGTAAAGATATCTATTGCCACAAGGTGAACCTTCGCATGACCGTGTTTACCCGTCTTTGAGGTGCTCATTTCCACCACCTTAACAACATTTTATTTCACTCAATCATTCCAAAAAATTTATCGATCAATCCACAACGTAAACATAAATTTAATTTTGCTTACTACTGTCACTAAACGATCGATCATTTACCCTCTGCTAAAACATTGCTTTGCACAGTCCATATTGACACAACCCATCCACGAAATCTTAATTTAAGCATTTGTAAACAAGTTCGTTATCATACCTTACAGGGACGCCCTTTAATCATAACATGTTCGTTTTTACGCAAAGCAGAGCACTGCTTAGGGAACGTTGTAGCCGCTCCTGCATCTCCAGTATGGAAATCATGATCATGCTCATGATCCGTCATGTTACTTGGTGGAGCTCTACAAAAATATACATTAAGCATTTATAGATGATCCAAATGAATACTAATAACAGTTCAACATTATTCGTTTATTATATTCACTCTTAGTGATTCTTTGAAAAATAGTCCAAATTAATGGATGCAGAACCATCTTCTTCACATTTCAATTATATCAATCAATCATCTTTGATGGAAGAATTATTAGAATAAACAAAGCGCTCATCAAATATCAACACTTTAAATATACAGTTGTAACTGCTGAGCCATTTCTCCCAAGCCGTGATTCTTTTCGTTAACTACGACGAAACAAGTAATATTCATCGACTTTAGTTAGAAGTAATCAAGCTCTTGTTTAAATTGAAAAGGTTGACCAATAACAATAACACTATGAGAAAATACAGATTGCTGTTTTTATGCAACGATGAGAAACAGATATGTATGCATACATACACACACATGATCAATCTAGCTAGTGTAAAAGGAGGTTAGTGAGTGACTATCGGACAGAGATGCTTTTGATTCAGCAACAATAATGAGCTTTCAATCAATTCATCCTGTTACCGCCGCACTAAATGATCACTTGAATAATTTCGATTATGCAAAATGCAGCCGAATCATTGAATTATGAAACAACTACGCTTATCTTATGGTTAGTGTATACAGCGCACGAGCAAATCAACAAGCGAGATCAATCGAACAAATTATGTTAAAAAAGAACGATTGATGATAGATACTTACAGAGATTAAATTATACGGTAAATAATGACAATGATAATATGAAGCGAATGTCCAAATATTTAATTAGCAGAATGAGCACGCCGTCTCAGATGACTGTTGTTCTGTTTGCATACGGATCCTAGATAAACATGACTTTCAACAAGCGGAGATAAGATTTGATGCGCGGTAACACCCGAAGCTTTCCGGAGGGGTATGGAATCAAACCAAACTGATCCAACGAAACGATTAAAACGAGTGGAATAATAACACGAACGTGGATCGTTGACGACGAATAATACCCTAAGCAACAATCAACTAATATGCAGCTGATGAAATGATTGAATATGAGAATACTTCGTCGCACAACTTGACAGCTACCACCGAAACTGTGCGTTCGAACAGAAACTTTATGCTACAAAACGATGTGGCTGTTGCTTGACTGATGTTACTGATTTTCTGAAACGTTTCACACCACTTCCTTGTTGATTACTGTTTTCGGCCTAAATCGTTCCCTGGTTCGTTCAGGTTCGAATGCGTAGCAAACTGCGAAAATAAATATACGAAGAAAAGAACAGAACGAGTGCCGTCTACACCATCACTTCAACTGATGTAAGTGTTACCTCACCGTTTTATTCCATATATTATATGTACACATCAGCACACATAACGCAATCAACTGACTATTCGCATGTCTAAAACGAGCTGACACGCACACCAGTCTACGACAAACTAAAAGTGCGCCATTTTGAAATACGTTTTCGACTGAGAACCAATTGGCCTAACAACCAACTGCAAGCCTCAAAACTGGCAACTCGTTCGCAATCGATAATCGAAAAATTTATCTGGGTACTTTTGCTGATAATGGGCGCCACCGCGCCATCACAGACGCTCGTGTGCTCATACATAAGTCGAAGGCTGTGCATTAAGCCTCATCACTGGGCTAAGCGTAAGTCTAAGCTTAAGCATACTCCTGATTTGACTTCGAATTGCATAGATAGACATGGGGCAAAGTGGTAATCTAAGCACATGCGCGCAGTGGCACCCGTTATCAGCTAAAGTGTTTTTATCTGTTTATTCCACCGTGATACTATCACCCTGGTTAGCTAACAATATTAGAGCAATATTTGTCAGCTTAACCTTTACGAGGCACTATCATTATTGTTATTACCAACATCATTTACAACAATATAAAATAATCAGCACCATGTTTCATCAGTTGTATTTTAATATCATGTCTTTAATCAAAAGAAGTAGCCAACCGCCTATATCACTAGATAGTAGAATGGTGCGGGGACGGGAAAAATGTCAGGGACGGAGGAAACCGGGGATTTTCGAGGGAAAATCCGTGAAATTCCCCGATCCTCGAAATCCTTTGCACCACTACTCGATGATATCATTTACTATAATATTATCGTACCTGCAGATGATAATAATAGCAATTCTACAATACAGAAGAGATCAGTCGAACTGTAAAAAAAGAGTGAATACAATAGCAAAAACTCAATTGTGATTTTCTAACTCTAGGAAAACACGAACTGACTTACTATAACAAAATCAGGCTTACATTATTTTCGTCAGTTGCATGTCGCGCAAAATCAAAGATAGGTATAAATTAAAGAGCCAATAATTTCATTTGTTTCCGTAAAAGATTACAAAAGTAACCATTAATTGACGAAGAAGTGTTCAACTGTTTACGTGAACACTTAATACAGTTCTGGTGAATGAACGATTGCATTTATTACCATTCATAAGTGGACAATTCAGAACAACAATGATGAATACAATATGTAAATGAAACGGAGATGATCGCTCAAAGTAATTTTGTGCTGCGAATTCAGCATTACGATTACTCCATAACCTAAAATCGGCAGCGATCTCAATAACGCACATGCGACTGAGACATACAACTAACGTCACAAAACTGCATTCGACAATGCATTATTACGAACGGTCGATGTGAAGAGAGACAGAAACAGGGATAGGCAACGGACTACTGGCCGATGGGTCGCCTATACCACTCATACGAGCAACAATGTACGACAACTTCTTCACAAGATAACTACTTCCGAAGATATGGTGGCCCTGAAGGCAATATTATTGTTCTTTAAGATTACTGTTGTTATTATACATGTCACATTAATTCCACCAAGAAAATATGCCCGTGGGTTGAAATTGATTATGCTTTTGAATAATCAGATCCGACTACGATATGCGTTCGAGAAAATAAATACTTTCATAAAACGTAAAGGATCTTTTCAGTTACTACTCAATCAATCAACAAAATTTAATGTTACTGAATTGGCTTACTCATCCCAGTGCAATCACCTTGCCAGCAGTGTGAAAAGCGATGACATCAAATGTCATCACCTTCAGGTACTTCTATATGATAAGCCAATAAAAACGCTACTTAGAAATGATTTCTCAGGACGATCAACATGTGAATGATGTAATATGTAAATGATCATTTTCTATAAGAACTTTCGCCTAGTGCATTTGGAAAAGCACACAACTAAACCACAAAATGACATCAGCCTCGTGTGTTTTGAAAACCATTCAACAGCACACTGTTTGCTTGTCACGCGAACACACACCTCCCTCATGTAAGAATACATATACTGGCTTTGACCAATAAAGTTAACTGATGAGAATTGATAATTATTGAATAATACCTAACGGAATTTTAGCATTATGTTCTGAACCCTATATTCGTTGTTCTCCTGGATGGCATGCTTATAGTTAGTACAGTTGAATAAAAGAAGATGAGAGTGAAATTTGAAAGAATTCGAATGGGATTCATAAAAATTATTTTTTACGAGAAGAAAAATTAAATAGTATGAGAGGATAATTAATAAAAAGTTCGCATTAAATTAAGTACAACAATAGCACACTGAAGTAAGATTTTGAGAAAGACTGACTGAATCTGCGCAAAATTATCAAATGGAACGACACCCGCTAGTTGTCGTATATCACCGATGCCGAGTTCTACGACTGCGGTGGAAGTAGTTGATAAAAGCAGTAAAGAAAACGGGAAGATATTAGGAAGATGAAAAGAGAGGAATCGAGAGGAGAACAATACATTTGAAGAAGTTTCCCGAAACATTTAAAAATTCGTTCATTAAAACGGAGATTGATCCTCGACTTTCAACAGATTTCCATTTGAGAATAAAACAATGAAAAGATCTGCGATGCATTCCGTATTTGATGTCTTTAGTGTTCGCAAATATACATGTATCATGAAATATCATGAAACTTTCCGTAACATCGTTCTTTTCACGTTTTGATTTCTTTTCAGTCTGACTTTAATTGTTAATTTTGACTCCTTGGAAACTGATTTCTGTAATCCTAATCGTAAGGCCATTCAACAATGATCCTTTCACATTCATGAATCAATCAACAAAAATTATGGCGTTGAATTAAATGTCAACTCAGCAAAAAAACTCAATTAGAATTTAATCAGCTAAAATCGAACCGTAATTTCAAGAAAACACCATTCCATTCCTACTGATGTTTGCTTTATTACTTCCAAGAGTGATGTATGATAAACCATCGAATGAGTGAGTGTGCAAATGGGTGAAGTATGCAATGCGTTTACATAATAAATCAATACCGCTCAATCGCTGCCGTATGTTGACGATAGTGAACAGTTTGAATGCAGAGAAAATAGTGAGTGAACTGCAATCATAGAACAATAACAGTATATCTATCTATTGATAGTGAAGGAAAGAATGTAAAATGCTATTCGGTAGGTGCTGGCTATCATCATCATCATATCTATCAGACAAGCAAATTTTAGTGTTGACGAGAGGAGGTAGACAGATACAATTTGTAAAAACTATTAATTAAATTAAATATGTAGTGGAAAAAGAGAAGGAAATATTTTTATTACAACTGTTTAATATTAGTTGCGTGAGTGAGTGAAATAATGTAACGGTATTTGAATAGAGCTAATATAATACGAGAACAAGAGAATGTTAGATAGACAGAACGATATGAGTTTGTAAATGGTGGTTTCATCTAAGAAATTATCGTCGACTACAACTCCAGTTCTACAACCGCTTTGTTCCTTTCTTACAACCAGCCAGGTCGAACGGTAGGCAGGTTTCTTTGAGCGAAAAGAATCATTCGGAGGACTGAAATGATGTGCGGTATAGTCGAGCAACGATGAATTTCATCTCACATCTACCATCCTTGTAACTGCCCATTTCACCTAGTCGTTTCATGCAACATTACGAAATATTTCATACAGATATCTACAAAATGTTGAATTATAAATACCGTAAGAAACTGCGTTAAGCCTCTTACATCGTTTTAAACCTTGCTATGCT